TCGAAGGTGGTGCATTTTATACCTTGCAAGCGCACCACCGATGCAGTTCATGTGGCTTAGCTGTTCTTTCAGGAGGTTTGCCGTCTACATGGCCTTCCGTCTTCGATTGTATAAGATCGTGACACTTGGTTTATGAGTCATTTCTTGCGCAGCTTATGACGCATGGCGAATACTAGCTTGGATTTCAGTAGCGCGTATCATCCACAGACGGATGGGAAGACAGAGGTGGTGAATCGCTCACTTGGGAACTTACTGCGTTGTTTGGTGGGCGACAACCTCCATAGCTGGGATCAGCGATTGAGCCAGGCCGAGTTTGCGCACAACTCGGCCGTGAGTCGTGCCACTGGCTATTCCCCCTTTGAGGTCGTTTATGCAGTTCGCCCCCGAGGGCCGTCTGATTTGCTGGTCCTGCCATCGGTCTCGGTTGATCGTCGGGTGGCTGACTTGATCGTCGATTTGTAGGCCACACACGAGTAGACCCGGGCTCGACTGGGGGCCACCACAGTGGTTTATAAGCGCCAGGCGGACGCTCGACGGCGACACGTTGAGTTTGAGGTAGGTTACTATGTTTGGGCTGTTTTGACGAATGACCGGTTTACGGCCTACGAGTATAATAAGTTATCTACACGAAAGATTGATCCGATTGAGGTGGTTGAGAAGATCAACCCTAATGCCTACCGTCTCCGTTTGCCGTCTCATCTTCGCACCTCTGACGTTTTTAACGTCAAGCATTTGGTGCCGTTCGCGGGTTACAATTCCGATGAAGAAGAGGCCCGTCTGGATTCGAGGGTGAATCCTTCCCAACCCGGGGAGAATGATGGAGACGAGGCTGGGTCGATGTGTTTGCAGAAATATGGTCGTTTGCGTGTCTAGCACATTTATTTTATTGCTTTATTTCCCTTTTGGATTATTTCTACTAGTAATTGGAGTTATGTTATTTTTATTAGTTATGGGGTGTTTATTTAATTATTAAGGTTTATCATGTTTTTAGGAAGTTGAGTTAGTGGGAACTCCTTATTTATGTACAAGGAAAAGAAAGCAGAAAACGGATTATCGTGAAAATAAAATATTTGTTCTCTCTTGAGCTTGTGTTCTTCCCTTTCGTATACATCCTCTACATCAACAAATCCACAAGGTACTTAGGCCGGCCTCCAGGGATTGGAAAATCCAAACTTCAGGCTTTTTAGATTGTTCTGGACACAGTCAAAACTAAACTCAACAGCTGAAAGTCTAAACTTCTTTCTCAAGCAGGCAAAGAGGTTCTTCTTAAGGCAGTGATTCAATCACTCACAGTCTACTCCATGTCGTGTTTCAGACTTCCATCCTCTCTTTGTGCTGAGATTATCAAACTTTGCTCCCACTTCTGGTGGAGCAAATGAGAGGATCATGTCAGTGGAATCCACTGGAAGACTAGGGATTTTTTAACTCTGCCTAAAGAAGATGGAGGTATGGGTCTCATTGACTTGAATAATTTCAATATTACTTTGATTTGTAAATCGTTTGTGAGAATAACCACTCGGCCTCACCTTTTGGTTAGCAAAATTTTGAAAGATAGATATTTTCTAGAATATTCAATCTTCTCTGCAGTCAAATCTCAAAAATTTTCATGGCTTTTGTCTAATTGGCTTGAAATCATTCTAATCTTTGCCAAGGGTTATGCAGTGGAAATCAGAAATGATGACTCCACTAGATTAGATGATGTGAACTGGACTTCATCATCTCTGCAACCACAACCTTTGTTTGTCCTATTTTTATTGCCTTTTTTGTGTTTATTTTATCATTCTTTTTTCCCCGTTTTAGGTTGTTTCTTTAGTTTTTAGTCTTTTTCATGTTTTCTTATGTGTTTTCCTTCATTTTGAGTCTTTATGTGTTTTTCGTTTGTTTTTCCGGTTCTCTTTTGTGTTTTGTCATTTTTGGTGTATAGGTCGGGAGCTTCAGGCAGATTTTCTCTTCAGGGAACATTTGTTTCGAGAGCATAGGTAAATAAAGGGGTTCGTTGGCGACGCGTAAGAAAAAACGGCACTCAATTCCAACTTCGAACGAGCTCAAACGAGGCCAAAACGTAAAATGGCGCAGTGCAGCCTAGAATCTCGCGAGTCGCGAGCCCAAAGTCGCGAGTCGCGAGATTCAGTCGCGACTCGCGAGAGAAATGTCGCGACTCGCGACTTTAACAGAGCCTCAGCAGCCCAGCGAATCGTCCAACTCGCGACTCGCGAGTCAACTCGCGAGTCGCGACCCTGTCGACCCCTGTTTTTATTTTTG